AGCTTGTAATTTACCAGCTCCAGCAGCACTCAAATCGAGAGGGAAAGAGACTTTCTCATTAACTAAACACACTCTGTCTCCTTTATCTCCCAATTGTGCTTTAGAGGGATCACTGATCATTACAGTGGGCTTATCGGATAATTGAAATCCAGAGAATGCAAACAATAGTTGATAGCCTCCAGGTACATTTGGTGTGTAACTGATGCTGTATTGATCTGGTGATGAGGCTGGTTCTACTGTGACATCTTTTGTGCAATTATCAGGTCCTCCAACATAAGCAGCAAATGTACCAGGACCAGCTTGAGTGCAGTCAGCTTCCCACGTCAATGGTTTGTCTATGTGAGAGTTTTCATTTTTGTTCTTACCAAGACCAGGCCCTTTGACTTTAATCTTTGATGGATCACACACATAAACTTCATAAGGCATCTTGTCAACCAGTCGATCACCAGCAAACACATATATGAGGTATACTCCAACTTTACTTGGTGCAAATGCCACTGTGTAAATTTTGTTCTTTTCTGAGATCTTAGGTTTTGTGACCTTTAGCTTTCCGGCAACTTTGGAAAAGCTCTTGACAGTTATCTCTTTGGACTTCAGAGCTTCTGGTACACTACCTTTTGTGAAAGGACCCAGGACTTTACCAGTTACTGAGACTGGTTTGGTTGCTTTAGAAGTATCAATGCTGTAAGTGAAGTCAGATCCTAGACTGACTCCAGTAGGCTCTAGTTTTACAACTTGTGTTTTTGCTTCCTTTGATTGGACAGCAATAGGGAAAGGACTGCCTGGTATTGCTTGGTTGTTGAATAGTACATTAATTTGATGTTCACCAGTGGATGTTGGTTGGTATTTCACTGCTACTTTACCATTGTCCTTTTCTTCCATTTTAATTTCTGCTCCTGAAGGTCCATTGACAGTGACATCAAGTGAGCCTGATCCTTCTGCTTGACTACCTATTTCAAATTCAGCCCAATCATTCACAAATGCTTCTCTAAGCCCTTTACCAGAAGCAGTCACTTTTGGAAGGTTGTCTGGAAACTCTGATTTTGTTTCAAAAGGAGAGCCTTCTACTGGTGTTCCATTGAAATCAGCTGATATGAAATATGGTCCTGGTTGGAAAACAGGGAAACTGTATTGAACGACTTCATTCTCCTTTATGGGCTCTTGCTTAACCTTTTCCTCTCCCTCTGGTCCCTTCACACTAACATTAGCACTCTTCATATTTTCTGGGCCTAGAGCTATAAAGAACTCTCCTGGAGTACCGACTGTAAGTGGACCCTCAACTGCTGGACCGTACAAATTTGGTCTACTTTCCAACGGTATATTTAGACCGGCAAACAAGTCAGTGTTAGTTTCCATCACTGCCATTTGTGGTTCTGCAATGACAGCACCTTCAGCTAGTATGGGGACTGTGTATGGTGAATCTGCAA